ATATTAATTATTTAATTATGTTAGGTTAATGGCACGTGCATATTGCTCTCATAAGACAGTTGAGGGTTCTTGCTGACGCAAAACTAAATTGTTTTAAGCAAGTCAGTAGGAACGTTTAGCGTTGAAACTGCAGACCGAATTCATTACTAGACTGTTTACGTTATACAAGTACCCTTTCATATAATAAAGTCTGGTTGGAAATGAACAGGCCAGCTCCATTCTTGTTCGGCTCGTGTTTTTCTCAACTTGAGACGAGAGCACATCCCACGCACCAAAATCGCCCCTAAAAACTACCCCATACAGCATCAAAGGTGCAGTCTCTCGAGCTTCACCTTTGACCTTACCTAAAAGTCCTCTTTTCATTTATGTGGGGGTTGAATGGTCAAAAACCACAACCTAGTTATGAGAGATGCCGTTGTAGAGGGCTCCGGAAATTCGGACAACCTGGGGCACTTTAACGGCCACCCAAATCTGAGCACAAGAGCCTGCAGCATTTCTGCCTCCATCGAAAATGCAGCCACCGAAGCCGTGATTCGATGTGCGGCCGCAACCTGCAGGTAAGCAGCCTTAGCTACTATAGCTACTATAGCAACCTTAGCTACTATAGACGACCGCGGTGGGGCTGAAAAGTCTCTTTTTTTTACGTTCACAATGGAACACCCTTGAAGTGCATGCTGATGGCACTCCTGTCCAAGTTTTCGTCGATACTGTCACTCACGTTTGTTAAGAGCGCAGATTTTTCTTGTCGCAGGATGGAGATCCTTACGTGACTTTTGACCAGTGTGGTACAAGTCACTGACGGAGGCACAGTTCCTATCGTGAGGATGTGTACTGCACAACTTAACGTTGCAGGTCATCATGTGGTCGGCATGTTTTCTATTCTTGCCACATGCCCCCACGACCTCATACTTTTACCTGATTTTATCGCTCAGGTCGCAGAACCGAATCTTAGCTGTTGCGGCTGCAATTTCGATCGGGGCGGAAATCCTGTAGCCTCGTGTGCTCATATTTGGGTGCACGTCAAACGACCCCTGGGGGTCGAACCTTTCAGGGCCCTCTACTCTCATAGTCATACAGTGTCTCTCATAATCATATTGGTTTTGGGACGTTACACCCCATATATCAACATCATAGATTTTGTTTCTGCCAAATCTGCACTTATGAATCGCTCCACCTGTGCCCCGCCTTCAATTGCCACATTGCTGCGAACCCCGTGCCACACAGCACTGAATAAATTGAAGCGACTTGATTCATCTCGCCCCCAAAACTGTTACGTATGTCGTAACAATATCATGATGAAAAGCAGCATTATTATTACCAATTAATTTTTTAGTGATGTATGCTAATGTAGAAGATGCAGAGTGGGGAAAATTGTGCCAGTTTGAAGTTAACGCTAATGGCAAACTTGGGTTTTTCCTTCTGTGTTTGTCTTATAATATGTGATATTTTTTGTATTACTCGTATCCGTGTTTGGCGAGTAATTTCAAGACCATAGCAAACTTGCACTAGGCAAGGTATCGCGAGCTTTACTGGAACTGCTGCTTGTTCGCAGTAAATTTTCTTCCATATAAACAAATTGTTTTGCACAGCCCTAAAATGAGAAGCAATTGAAATAGCTGCTTACCTAAATATTGACGATGTCCTTAAGAGTAGAGTAATGCTCCTCCTTCCTGCCTTAAGCTATATTGCACAAGCCTGAAAGAAGCAAAGCATTGCTTTTCGCACAATCCAGATGGGAGTGAGCGAAAGCATGGAGCTATGCTCGGCTAGACATTTTTGAACCGCTCATTCGCTGCTTAGTGAACAACAGGTTAAAAAGTGCAACAATGATACATTCATTACACCAAGTTACACAAACACAAGGACCCAATCGAGAGTCTTCTATGGAGGCGCACACTGTTGAGTAATTGTTGCGCTGTTTTCTTTACCGCCAGCAAAGGCTGTCTTAGCGCAGATAATTTTATTGCCAACTATAGCCAATTAGTACAAGATAACTGTTCTCAAAAAAAGAAAAAAAGGAAAATTAACGCTAGTTTCATTTGCCAGTAAGTACCTGCGATGAGCCGTTACTCTTCTCCCAAGATCAATAAACGAAAAGGCCGAAGGTGGTTTCTTCTTCCAAGTTGGCAAACAGGATAGACAACAGCTCAAGCGCAACAAACGCATGTCATCTGCACCTCCATGCAGGACAACCGATGTAACGACGTAAAGCATGCATGAGTCTCACAGTCATTTTGAATAGGAAGCCAAAGTAATGAAATGAAGTCTCGCCAGGGCCGCGATGGTGAAAAAAAATTAAAGTTAGAAAGAGGGGATGGGTCCTGTATTTTGTGAAGGGTTAGGTAAGTTTTCCTTCTTTTAACTTCAATGTATCGTGATTTAGGATGGACTGGCAGTTCGGTACTGCGCAAGAAGAGGCACCCAAACTCTAAGTATAGTCCTATCTCGTGGTGAATAACGTGGTCTTTGAGATCCTTGCGCTATTGAGAAATCATTGGTTGAACGGAAGATAATCTAAGGGAAAGCCTACCTCTGGCATTGCTCACTATGTTTATTTCTGATGCGCACAGCTATTCATTGTGAATTAAAGACTCACATATGCACTAAGAAAAAAATTGGCAGATCCCACGTACGGTGGGAACTGATAATATGCGAAGCACTAAATAGAAATGTTAATATGTCACTTTATTATCAGCACAACGTTACGAGGTTCAAGTAAAAGATGCCGTACATGACTTCCATGTCATGGTTATCATGTTTGGATGTGTTGTTTACCTTCATCATCTATTCATGTCTCGTGATACTAAATTTAGTATATGTGGAGCTAGCGAAACTACCGTGAGCGTGCTATCGGTGTAATATGTTGTATTGTTCTTACATGACACGCGCCTCAGGATTATCATGTTTGCACCAGTCATATACTTTCGTCATTCATTGACGTCCCGTAACGCCAAATTTAGTGTATGAGGAGCTAGCGAAACGGCCAGCGAGCGCATCATGAAGGGACCCAATATACTCCAATGTAGCGTTGACGTGCGCTCGAGCTGGGCAGAGTGGCGCTGCATTGGCAAAACGCGAGCACTATATAGTCTGATGCCAGGCGTGACCGGCGCGACCAGGGTTCGTCGGCACGGCCCGATGGCAACCAGCGCGATATGTGACGTGCTGCATTTCGCACCGATGCATCACTCAGAGAAAACTGCGTCTCCCTCTTTTCGTAACAGAGGAACGCCGGACGCGCTGAAAAGCGCATTTGTCAAAGGAAATCAGCGCGACGCGCGCCTGCGAGTATACGGCAGGACCGGCACCTGGCGTGTACTCCGCCGGCTTGACGTGACAAGATGAACGCTGGCGCACACGCGCGCCGTGTCACGTCGAAGTGTATTGGCGCCCTGACTGTGGCATGTAGTCATGTTGTCACATTACACGCATCTTATGATGAATATGTTTGCCCCTGTCAAATACCTTCGTCATCAATTGGCGTCACGTAATACCAAATTTGGCATATGTGAAGCTAGCGAAACAGCCTCGAGCGCATCATGAGTGTGGCATGTAGTCATGTTGTTACATAAAAAGCATGTCGTGATTCTCCTGTTTGTATGTTTCATTATTCTATGTCGTCCATTGGCGTCACCTAATAACGAGTTTGGTGGATGTAAAGCTATCAAAACGGCCGCGAGTACATCATGAGCAAAGCATGTAGTCGTGTTGTTACATGACACGCATCTCATGTTTATCGTGTTTGCACCAGTATTAAACCTTTGTCATTCATTGACGTCCCATAATACAAAATTTGGTGTAAGTGTAGGTAGCGAAACGGCCGCCAGCGCATCATGAGCGTGGCATGTAGTCATGTTGTTACATGACACGCATCTTATGATTATCATGTTTGCACAGTGGCATACCTTCGTCATCCATTTACGCAACGTAATACAAAATTTGGTATATGTGACGCTAGCCAACGCCCGCGAGCGCATCATGAGCTTGCCATGTAGTCATGTTGTTACATGCTATACATGCCATGATTTTCATGTTAGGGTTTGTCGCTTGTGTTCGCCATGCAATAATGTCATACTATACCAGTTTTGCAACATACCATGTGTACTAAACCACCGCAAGAGCTGCAGGACCACGAAATGTAATTCAAGACATTTATGACATCCATGCCTTCATTTTCATGTTATGTCTAGCCAAATATGTTCCTCGTACAGTAATGTTATGCCTTACAAAGTTTGGTATCGATACCGTTATCGAAACGCCCAGGAGAGCTAAAAGGGGTAAGCGGCTAGATATATAGATACGCGCAAAGTTGCCGAAGTTCGATATAAAATGCTTCCCATTAAAAAAAAGAATACATGTGATTTAGACAGTTGTTTGCCAGCCAGGCAGCCACAGCGAGAGGTCTTCAGGCGGCTTGCGACCAATGCAACGGATGTTTGAACACACCTGGTGGAAAGAAACGTCGTGAGAAGCAAAAAAACTGATAGATAATAGTTGGCAAAAAATGTTGTGCGCTGGAAGTGTACTATCAGATTGTTCTCCACCAACAAGCTCAAAAATTTTGGCGTTTTTCGAAAATAGAGACAGATCCATACATATATGGCATCGACAACTTGTGATTCGTTCACAGCACTGTAAAAAAATTTACTGACGCTCAATAAATTCTGAGCTCTTCTCTTTTCTATTCTTAAGTTTGCTGTAAATTAGTATAGTTCTATCATCAGTTTTTTATTTTATTGCCTTCATTATTCACTATTGCGTTTTCCTGAGCTATTTATCGCATTTTTATGAAGGCATTATTTCTTATCATGCTGTACATCACAATCAACATATATTGGCATTTAAAAATCTTATCAATATTGCTCATAATTGAACAATGTTTGAATGTAATACAATCAGTGACAGTGCCATATATAAGGCAAATAATCTTAATAAACTTAAAACTCAGTTGTGCAACAACAAGCTATTAGCAGAATGACCAGCCAGTTTGACGCCGGGAATTTAGGTTTCATCCATCAAAACGCAGCTTCTTTCAAGCGCGGATGAAATTTTGCTTTAAACTTATTGCTTCCCCTAGTGGCGAGACATTCATTCTCTTGCAGAGACGGAGTCACGTCACGTAGATTCGCACCCAGTCGACGAACTCAGACACTCGTGTGTAGACCCCAGGTAGGAAAGGCATTGCGCACTTGACTCCCCACGAGACGACACCGATGAGGTAGATGCGGTCGTTCCTCTTGAACGTCAGCGGGCCTCCCGAGTCACCCTGTTTCAGAGAATAGAGAAACGACGGAAAAATTCAGCGTCTGTATACACGACTTCAACGAGCAAGGTCATGATTTATGATGCGCGTTTTATTTCTTTATTGGTATTGAAGGCTACGACCGGACAAGAGAATTTCACAACAATGTACTTAGCAATAGAGAGTTTCCATGAAGGTAGACAACGTGGACAACACACACAGCCGCTTGACCGCTCATCTAATACAAAATAAGCAACAGTGTTGACCAGTAGGCGCGCATCGTCCGTATAGTTTGTCGCTTTAAACCTTTATTTTAAAAAACTCTGTCTCATAATATCATGCACAGGTTGCCTAGGCTGCATAGGTTGAGGAGGTTGTTCGCCAAGAAATGCAAAGCATCTCTTTGCGAACAATCAGCAACATTGATCCTGTCTACCTGTAGTGAGAGACAATAGACATGATTGCGACTGACGTGCCCGCGCCGTTCTCTCGCCACTTTATTGAGAAGACAGTAGCATCGGTGGCTGTAGCGTCCAGACTGCCGGGTGCGTGAGCTGTTCTGGCTAGCGCCTCGAGCTCCGCGTGATCTGCGCAAGAGGCATGGCACGGTTGCTCAAAAATTTATAAATTATAATGAAGATGACGCTACATTATCTATCTATCTATCTATCTATCTATCTATCTATCTATCTATCTATCTATCTATCTATCTATCTATCTATCTATCTATCTATCTATCTATCTATCTATCTATCTATCTATCTATCTATCTATCTATCTATCTATCTATCTATCTATCTATCTCAAGTTGCCATATTCTCTAAAAAACATCCTTCATAATTCGCAACCACTCCTAACTGGTATTCCAAGTTACTATTCCAAAAGGCGTGAAGTAAGAGCGGAAATCAAGAAAAGGGTGTGACAGCCTGGACAGCAGTCACTTAATGGATCCGAGCCTTGGACTAATATCGCCTACTCGCGGCATCTTCAAGTATTGACCGCTAATGCCCGACTAGAGAAGAACGCAATTCGCCCCGTGTAGACGTAAAGCGCCTGAATTGCCGACGCGGTGGGCCGGCCGTGATTTTTCGCGAGGCGAGCATAAGTGGAGAACATGGTATTACAGCCAAGCTACACAGATATATTTTTGTATGATTGGGTGCTATGAGCGAGGCTCACGGTACGATAATAGGGCCATCTGTCGTTGTCTTAATGCATCGACCAAATTACACTTCTATTGAGAAAGCGTCAAATGGGAGGGACGCGAAAGAACGACCCGTTGAAAAACAGAAGTCTGATATCGCAATCGCAATCAAGGTTGCCACTGTTGGCTACTTTTCGCTAATTTTGTGAATTCGAGAGGTCCGGGGCGACGTAAAGTTATGATTGGCGGCGTGGCGAATTTTAGGCAATCATCTGCTTAGGTTTCGGTTGAGTTGTGCATTTTATACTCAGTGTATTTAAAACGGATGGGCGACAACACTCTTTCTAGTTTTTTTTAGTTTTAGACCCACTAGTAGAAGGCGCACTTTTTGAGCAATTCAGTACGTCTGTTCAGTTTCTCGAGTATATCTCCTGAATTCACCTAGATCCTGGCAGCACTAGGACCCTGGTGCGTCCGCCAACAACCTCTTTGCAAAATTTGAGTCAGCAGACTGCTTTGCGTGCCACGAGGTGGTGGCGCCATGCTAAGTTTTTGAATTGCTTTTAAGATTCTTTAGAATTTTCGTTTCTGAAGGGGCTAGGTGACGGTCAAGCCGAGAGTTCCGACCACAGCTCCAACGGTCCTGAGTAGCTTGCACACTTCTTCGTTGCGGCAGTACGCGCTCATTTTGTATTCAGTGTTTTAATTTGTTGACATATTTTTCGCACCGGTCAAAAAGTGGACTTTTTAGGCAGCCTTAAGAAAGGGCACTGAGGCGAATGTGTAGCGTAAGCATGACCGCACAGAAAGCGTGGCGCAGGCATTACGACGGTTACGCAGTACTTTCAAATTTATTTCAGTTGTTTTGTAATTAGGTTGCTCGATTATCGGACAAATGATTCCACTGCAATGACATTCTCTTAATCTGCTGGAAAGCTACGCATGCCGTTTCGCTCTTGTTCTGGCGACAGGCTCGCCCAGTACTCGTGACAGCTGAAACCATCACAAACTTTATGAGATGGCAGCACTTAGGGACGCTGCTGGTGCGTGCATAGCGCACTGATTGTGAATCGGATGATGTGATTCGAAATCCACTAAGCCCTCTAATGGTTAAGTGGGTGATGCGACTGGCATTGGTGAACGTCAGTATAATTCATGATGTATGGATGGTACCTTGGGTACTGTACTCTACGGGTCTTTACATAAATGGCAACTTTTAAAAACAGGCACGCCGCACATGTAGAGTGGCGACTTTTTTGGTGAAACTCGAAGAAAATGGTGACATTTGTTGACTTTCTACTCCTTGTTTGGGAAATGTTCCTCGAAAGTCAGTAACAACCCTGTTCCCAATGCACCATTTTACTTGACCAAGAGCACTGAGAAAAGACCGCAATAGATAGAAAGAGCATGTTTAAAAGACTTTCAGAGTATGTGGCCGTGATGCAGTGGCTACAGCATGCCCTAGCTGCCTACCGGTCGCAGTTCGACTCTCGTTGATGGAACTTTTTTTTTCTTTCTGATCGTGCTTACTTTTTACGACTTCATCACTGTGACGGAAGTACGCCACTGAAGTATTGGTGGACCCTGGCATAAAACAATTTCAGAACACTTTCGTGTTAAATATGAGATAGAAAGAAAGAGGAAGAGAGCAGATCATAGCCATCAGGTTGAATTAGCAAAAAGAAATTGCTGCACTCTTTCTGTATTTACGCGTGCTTTATCTTCCTTCTGTTATGAGAACGTATCATTTGAAAGGCCTTAAATTTCATATCCTTAATTCTTAGCCAATGCTCCGGAGTGGCCAAGAGCCATAGTGGAGGCATAATCATCATCGTAATCATCATCATCATCCTCATCATCATCATTATCATCATTATAGAATTACACAGCAAATGAATATGCGGGCCAGTCAAGCTAACCACGACTGCGAGTCGGCTAACGCCTGAAAGCGGTACAAAACATCGTCCCGCAGGCAGGTTCGCTGGACAGTGGGACCTTTACCGCAAAACCGGGATATGTCACACCTAAACGGGGACATCTGGTCACTTTAGACAAACTCTTCGGGCATTATCTAACACACCGCCATAAAATGTTTAGCCAATGACACCACCTTACAAAGTGTTTTAAATAATAGTCAAGTATATGTACGTTACAGCACTGTTGATTGCGCATCGATTATCATCATAAAAAAGCGAAATGACAAATCAATACGCCAACTTTCTTTAATACGTCATTAGGCGTGGAACCTTGTGTTGGAACTAAGGTCGTGAAGAAGTTAAACTCATCTTTGATCAAAAAAGCTCTCACTGTAAAAAAAAAATAACTAGTTTTCATAAGCTACATCTATGGCATTACTTGCGTTGAAACAATTTTTTGGGGATGAAAGGAAACCGCAATATGTTGCGTATATATAAGAATATCTGTAACTACAACTCCCACAGGTAACGCCATAAAGCCCATATAGTTAACATTTCAAGTACTATACCCACTTCATTTAAATATGAAATTGCTAATGTTGTCATTCGTAGCTTTCTTGCATGTACCTACTAAGGGAATTACATGGATTGCTCCAAAACTAAACTTTCAACTGGTAAGCAAGGTAAGGCATTTTTTTTTCTCTTTTGGCCCCGCAAGGGCATTTTTATCATATTGGGGAGCTTCTAAAAAGTTCGTATGGAAGGTGGTCAATGAGCGCCCCCTGTAAGTTTGCGCAGCGTAATTCTACCACTTTTGAAAGCTTTGAAAACAGCATAATGCGCAAATATGTCTAGTGCGAACAAGTGGAAGAGAATGCATGAAAGCACTGTTTCTGTTGTAACCTATTTATTACAGCGAAAACTGTTACAGGATCACAACTTGGGTCCCGCGCAGTTGTTCCGCGCAGGCCTGGCATTTTTCATTTATTTATTCATTCAATAATTATTCTAAGTACTTCAATCGCCCAAAAAGATATTGTGTGAAGAAAGCATCAAAAGAATATATACATGGCTATGCACAACTTAGAAACAATAACACAAGAAAGAGAATCTCGATGACAATACAGTTGCTAAAAGCGTAAGTGATTAAAAAAATAAATACAATGCCAACAAAACTCAGATGATGACACATGTGATCTGTTGACATGAAATAAACTAAAAAAAGTAAACACAATTTCTTGGAAGACGCTCAGTTATTCAAGTGAAAAGAAAACATTGCTCAAGATTGCACACAGAATCGGATGGCATGTTAGCATTCAAAGCTGCTGCAAATCGATTAAATTAAGGAAAATAAATCAAGAGAAAAAAATTAGCCAAGGAACTAGCAATATAAAAACGTACAGTACAGAACTAGGAAATGGGTGTTTAGAAGATGCCGGAATTTTCGTATACTGCGTTCAACTACAGTGTCATCTGGAAGGTTGTTCCATATGCGTATGACGTGGAAAAAGACAGATGTGAGAAAAATGTATGTTTTACTGCAGATGCGCGTGAACTAAAGATGTTTATTCAGAGTTTACGACGTGAATGCAGATGTTTGCTATGTTACATGTAATGACCTTGATTCGTGCACGTATTTGTGAAATAATAAATGGAGGATAATGTATGCTCAAAAGCAAAACAATCATGAAGCGCATCTTTCAATATACTCCAGTGACAACCTATACAGCCAAATTTGTCAGTATGTGGGAGGTTTGTTGACAGCTAGGGCTGAACAAATGTACTGTGAAATTGTATTGCGATGCTGCACAACAAACTGAAGCAAAAGGTAGTGGAGATATATACCGATAACAGATTCAAGATACTACCACAAAAATTCGGTACAATACTGGCCATTTGTACCTTCAGATACTTTTTTTACATTCGCGAATTTGTTGTTACATACCTCCGTAATCTAAAAGCGA